AAGGGGCCGTGTCCCCAACAAGTCTGGGGACACGGCCTTAAAGGGGCAGTGTCCCAATCTTCCTGATGTCCCAAAAAAGGTGTTTAAAGGGCCAGCACCAGTCACATAAAGAGTCCATAAGCCCCAATATGCCCACCGACGGTCTTAAAGGGCCATACACACCAAATAAAAGTGCATACATTTTCACAATCTCCCAGGGGCCATAGTCATGCGGGAGGAGGCTGGCAAGTAGGCTTCTCCACAACCCAGGGAAGCAGGGCAATTTGCCATTTAAGGGCCCGTTACAAATAGCAGTTTGTAACAAGGTGTCAATCCATATCTGCCAAGTGACCCGATGTAGGGGGACCAGTCCCTATTCTGCTCTGTGTCAGGGTGTGTACAGGAACCTTGGGACGGGTGTCAATCCATATCTGCCAAGTGACCCCGATGTAGGGGGAACAGTCCCTATTCTGCTCTGTGTCAGTGTGTATCAGGGATCCTTAGGACGGGTGTCAATCCATATTTGCCAAGTGACCTATGTAGGGGGACCAGTCCTATTCTGCTCTGTGTCCGTGTGCATCAGGGGCTCTGAGGACAGGTGTCAATCCATATGTCAAGGTGTCAATATGTCATATGTCAGGTGTCAATCCATATTCATTGTGATTTAGGAATGTTAGGTGATTTCTGCCCTTTATGGATTAAAACCAGACTCTGTATCAACTGTGTAATTTTCCATGGGAGTTTTGCCATGGATCCCCCTCCGGCATGCCACAGTCCAGGTGTTAGTCCCCTTGAAACAACTTTTCCATCCCTATTGTGGCCAGAAAGAGTCCCTGTGTGTTTTAAAATTCGCCTCCCATTGAAGTCAATGGCGTTTCGGGCGGTTCGCCGGTTCGCGAACATTTGCGGAAGTTCGCGTTCGCCGTTCGCGAACCGAAAATTTCGGGTTCGCGACATCACTACCCATGAATTGTGAATGCAAGTATGGGAGAAGAATTGTGAAATATAGGAAAGTTTTCAGAGTTCTTGTAGCGGGACCTGGGTAACCCGGCTGGTTACCCCATTTTAGAGATAGTAGGTCAGACCCATTTCCCCAGTAACTGGACGGGACACAGTTCCAGGGTACAACTTTGACAATGATTATTTGGGCACACAGCTTTTTATGCACAGACCCCCACAGGGGGTCTCCTTCCAGCACAACACAATCTCATGTAGGAGGGGGCTGGGGAACAAATAACCATTTCCCGCTCTGGGAGATACTAACAGGACACAGGGACACACATGAGTACACATTACATACGGGGGTGAACTTTGGGGCTCGGCACTCGGGGACAGGAACGGGGTACAGGGTTACACTTTATACAAATAAATAGCACTGAATCCCCCCTAAGATCCCTGCAAAAAGCAGGGCGATCGGATGTACAGAGCTGGAGATATCAGCGTTGAAAGTCTGGGGCTCAAGGCTCTGTACATCCCCAAAATTAATTCCATGGTGTTGCTTGGTTTAGTCCAGCAAATTCAAACTTTGTACCTAAACCAAGCAACAACCAGTTAGCCGAAAGGGTGCAAACCAAATCACACCAATCAGCATCACGGGGAGGAAGGAGTTTTGCCGCCCAATCCAAAGAAAGGGCGCAAAACTCTGCTGCATCAATTGGTGCTCAGGGAGGAGAGGGGTTTTGCAGCCCAATCAGAAGATAGGACATGAAACCCGATGTCACCAATCAACTGAAAGTCATGCCAATCAGCGCCCAGGGACGAGAGGGGTATCGCCGCCCAATCAGACGGAAGGGCACGAAACCCCGTTTGAACAAGTGCTCCTTCTCAGATTGGTCGCCCGCTCCCTGCGGCAACCAATCAGCACTTTACTCGCGCCGACCAACCAGGAGAATGGCGCGAACCCAGTTTGTATGGGCTCTCCTTCTCCCATTGGTCGGCACAGACTTCCATGCAGCCAGCTTGTGGTCGTGAGACCGATTCACAGCCCCAGGAATTCCCTGCTGGCATGCGTCCCTTTGTTCGGTGGATACCCACACTCAGGTATCCGCCAGAGAGAGTGTTTGCATGAGTAGCCACAACCTAGCCTCGTAGCTCCCAGGTTTGAGAGTAGTTAGAGATTATAGCTCCGTCAGGAGCAGGTAGGATGATTCCTGACATAGGGATCGAAGACAGTGCACGCAGGCGGTTTGGGAGCCGAATGCTCCCCTGTGGGCGTTCGCTGATACGAACCGGTGGCCACCCAGGCGAAGCACGTGCCGCTCGTTCCCTTGCGGTCTGCGGTTTTCACACCTCGCTAGTGAGGTGTAAACGTTCTGACTAAACATGCTAAATTTAGTATTGGGGTGGTCCGGTGCACAGCTCTCTGCCCCACCTACACAGCCCATGCCACTAGACCACCAGGGAGTGAGAGCCCCCCTCCCTGCCATGTATCAAGCAGGGAGGGGGGACGAAAAAATATAAAAAAAAATAAAAAAATATATAAATAAAAATTTAAATACAAAATAAAATAAAAATAATATAAAAAATATTAAAATAATAATAAAAATGCCCACCCCCCACCAAGGCTCTGCATCACATACATACACACACTGCACTCATTTTTTGGGGATCTAATTTTATTTAGAAATTTACCAGTAGCTGCTGCATTTCCCACCCTAGTCTTATACTGGAGTCAATAAGTTTTCCCAGTTTTTTGTGGTAAAATTAGGGGTCTCGACTTATATTTGGGTCGACTAGAGTATATACGGTATATCTGTGTCTAATATATATATATATATATATACATATGTGTTTGTTGCTGTTTTTCTACCCCCCTAGCTGCAGACATAAGGTCTTATCGCTGCTCAATGTTTACGCTAGTCTAGTCGCATTCCTTTGCTAATGAATATTGTTACAGAAATACAAATGTGTCTGTCTTTGGAACTGTTACAAAATGGATGGTCACATCTGCGAAATGGTGATTTGCAGTATACATTTTTAATTTCTATCTTACAACAATTCTATCTTACAACAATACATTGTTGTGTCTGCATGTGTTAACAAAATACCTGAAATTTTGGAAGAACAGTTATAAACAACATCAAAAGACTCACAGTTGTCTAAAAAGTATACATTTGTTTACACATTTTGAGTTTGTTAACTCCTTAAGGACTGGACTGTTTTTGTGATGTTGTACATTTGCGACCAGTAAAAAACAAGGGGAAGAGTCTGCGCTAAGTAACAGAGATGTAAGCAGCAACCCTAAAAAGGGAATCCCTCAAGACCCTTGATAAGATAAAAAAAGAGGAGGTAAGGGCTGCGCTAAGATACAGAGATTGGTACCATAGAAATCAGACCAAATGGCCTGAATGGATAGACAGCAATAAGTAAGCCTGGGTAATATAGTTTCTATTGAAACAACAGAAAAAAGTAAATAAAACAAAGTCCATCCAAGTAGTAAAATGTTCAATAAAAATCAATAAAACGTCTCACTTATATTTACATGCAGGTTAAATAAATTAAAAATAGATAAAATGAGATGAAAAATAGAAGTAAATGATCTAAATTATGCCCCAATCTTAGTATATATGAATAAAAAACCATTATGCAATAGAATGAAAATGCAACTGAGAAAGGTATAAAAATAAAATATATATCTTAAGAACATATGGAGTGTCACTTAAAAGATTAAAATATAAAACATATATTTAAGAGAGAAGGAAAAATGAAGAGTACCTTAACAGAATTGTAACAAATAATGTACATATTCATAGAAAATTATACAGATCAAAGTCTGCATTTAGACCTTGAGGTGCAAGGGTCTGTAACCTATAGACCCATTCCATTTCTGTTTTTCCTAGGATATTTTTTATATCACCTCCCCTCCAGGGTAAGGTGCATTTTTTTATCCCCAAACATTTTAACATTTTAGGATCTTTGTTGTGATTTAACCCCTTAAGGACTGAGCCAAATGTACACGTTGTGAACGAAACAAAATGTAAACAAAACCTGGCATTTGCGCTACATGTCTGTCCAACCGTAATTAACCTCTTTCATAGTAAATGCACCCACCCTTATTATATATCATTTTATTCAGGGGAAACAGGGCTTTCATTTAATATCAAATATTTAGCTATGAAACATAATTTAATATGAAAAAAATTGGGAGAAAATCCGAATTTTTTTAATTCTACATGACATTTTAACTGTCAATGTCTTAATACTGTTTCCTTTTACTGCAATAAAAATACACATATTTGTATTCAGCAAAGTCTCACGTGTAAAACAGTACCCTCTATGTACAGGTTTTATGGCGTTTTGGGAAGTTACAGGGTCAAATATAGCATGTTACATTTGAAATTGAAATTCGCCAGAGTGGTTACGTTGCCTTTGGGACTTTATAGTAGCCCAGGAATTAAATTTACACCCACAGTGGCATACCATTTGCAATAGTAGACAACCCAAGGTATTGCAAATGGGATATGTCCAGTCTTTTTTAGTAGCCATTTGGTCACAAACACTGGCCAAAGCTAGCGTTAGTATTTGTTTGTGTGAAAAATGCAAAAAATGCCAATTTTGGCCAGTGTTTGTGACTAAGTGGCTACTAAAAAAGACTGGACATACCCCGTTTGCAATACCTTGGGTTGTCTACTATTGCAAATGGTATACCATCATAGGGGTAATTTTCATTCTTGGGCTACCATAGGGTCTCAAAGGCACCATAACCAATCTGGCGAATTTTAATGTGAAAAAAATGAAATGCAAGCCTTATATTTGACGCTGTAACTTTAAACCTGTACATGAGGGGTACTGTTGTACTCGGGAGACTTCGCTGAACACAAATATTTGTGTTTTAAAACAGCAAAAAGTATCACAGCAATAATATCGTCCGTG